CCAAGACATTAACTAGCGCGGTTGCCAAAAGAACCACTGAATTTGGATTTACAGCTCCAACACACGCATTCATAGTCGGCGAAGAACTTGAATTTGGGCTAAACAATGAGGGTATTTGGTTATCAGGTGGCGATTGAACTGAACTAGATGAAATAATTTGGGAATCTGCGGATTTGGACTTTTGTCTGAATCAAAATGCAGTAAAGTATGATGACGCAAACGACAGATGCGACAAACCGAGGTAGATTTGCACTTCTGTAAGTTATGAGCCTGTCATGTATTATATCTAGCTAACTGTGGCAACGCTGTCAAGGCACGATTCAATACCTGCGTCAGTCTTAAACAACAGCTGATTATTATTGTGCGGGGATCGCTGTATGCAATTACCTAATAGATCACTGATTAAATGAACTAGATAATTATTAGCCTTGTTATTTAACTCACATAGAACTAAACATTACAGAGCCGAACTCAGACAATTGATGCACATTCTGTTTTGCTTGCAAATCGAAAATCTCTCTTTGGGAGTGTTATTGCGAAAATTAGGGCAATTATAAACCAAATGTGACAAATTACACACACTGCATCTTTGTGAAGGTACTATATTTTGAGTTTGACTGTTGCCGTTACTTGCATTTGCCAACAATGCATGAGGATAAACTTTTCCAGGAGCACCTTTTGCGCCTCGACTATTATTTGCTCCTTTTGTTTGCGAAATTTGATTATTCGAATGAGCCATAGTCTCTAAAGCTTTACATTGATTTGTAAGAAATAACTTCAACTGATTAAAGGTTGGAATATCAAATTGTGCATGGGCTAATTCAAAACGTTGTACTGTGTCAACGTCCAGTTTTTTAAGTAATAAATTCAGAAGAATAAAATCCCAATGTACAACTGGAAATCCTAAGAGAGAAAGGGCGTCTAAATTTTCCATAAAGGAATCAAAAATATTGCGTCAATTAAACCCATTCGAAACTTTAGGGAAATTCAATATTTCAGTTAAATAGGTGGTTGCCAGTAATCTTTTATTTTGGTAGCGACTCACCAGGGTTGTATAGGCAATTTTGTAATTTGCTTCCGTTATTGGAATAGCTTTAATTAAATTTAGCGGTTCCCCCTTAATAAAAGAGAGGAGATACTGGAACTTTTCTATATCTGATAAGCCAGCTTTATTATGAATTAGGTTTTGAAACAAATCAAAAAACGTTGGCCATTGCCTAAGGTCACCCTCAAATACAGGTAGCGTCAACTTGGGCAAATTAACATTTATAGTCGGAGCAAAGTTATGCAAAGCGGCAGTGGGTGAAGCTAGCGGTTGCGACATTGTCATATTGACACTCGCATTAGCGATTGCTTCATTTTTAATTAATTGATTGAAGATACTCTTCGTAGTATAATACTTTTCATCTATTTCGCTTCGAATTTCTTCTTCGCCATCCCATTTGTCCTCAGACATATCCTTATGAAAAACTATTGTCATGTGAATTTTTTCGAAATCTTGATAATAAGAGGGAATAGCCTCATAGCGTGTCTTAAAATATTCTTGCGTTGTCTCATCTGCAATCGCTTTATTAGCAATATCGTAGACTTCAGAAATTCGTTTCATAAGAATTTTGCGTTGGGCAGTGAGAATTGTTAAATCTTCTGACATATTGCCAAAAAAAAAAAAAAATTGAAATCAAATTTAAATTAAATTAAATCGAATGGGACCACGAAAAAGAAAATGTACCTACTATCTAGCAAAATCCGTTCTTTTCCTGAATTTGCATTTGGGCAAAAAAAAGAAAGAATTTCAAGCTTGGAATGTTTATGTTCAAATAAACAAGTATTTTTTTTTTGCTTTGCTCTTGAGGTTCAATTTACAACTTCTATGGCTTTTATGATAAAAATGTTTTCGTTCTACTGGCCAAATTACAATAATTAATGCCTTTTATGTTTCATTTTGTCTAAAACACAAACCGAGAATAATTAAAACACTTGCAGTTTCTTGCTAAGAATGATGTATAACGCGAATAAATTTCAACAAAATGAAAAAATCTAATAAAATTTTTCCTAGGGGAAATTTTTAAAAATTTCGTCTTCAGCCAATTTTTTAACAAAATCATGAGTGCATAGCGCCTGAAAAAATCCCGAACCCGAGAATAATTTAAAATTTTGGAGAAATAATTTGGAACTCCAGGAAAATTAATGGAATTTCATCAGAATTTCATAATTTTACAGGAATTCCACAAAAATACCACATCTTTTGTTTGGAGTTCTACGTTGTATCCCTGGAATTTTATTAAATTTTACTGGAATTTTATTTAATTACACACAATTTTTATAAAATTCCGCAAAATTTCCACATAATTTCAGTAGAAGTTTGCAGTTTTTATAAAATGTTGCATATTTTCTATAGAATTCCGCAGAAATTCTTTGGACTTTTGCATAGTTTCTATGAAATTTCATAAAATTTTTATAGAATTTAATACACTTAAATTCATATAATTTTTATAGGATTTTGATTTTTTTGAAACTCAACGCTTTTTTTGGAATTCTATGTCGTTTTCCATTCAATTTCGCATAATTTTAATGGAATTTGGCATATTTTCAATGAAATTCTGCATACTTTGTATAAAATTAGGCATCATTTCCATGGTATTCAGCATAATTTCAATAAAATTCCTCATAGTTTTTACCAGGATTTCGCATAATTTTTACGGAATTTTACATAATTTTTATGGGTTTTTATGTAATTTCATTGAAACAATGATTTTTTTGGAATTCTTCGCCATTTTCCCAGAATTCCATTTAATTTTGCTTGTAGGGAATGCAATCCCGCGAGATAATAATTACAGTCCCGGTATTTGCGGGACTGGATATTTCCAATCCTGCGGGATCCAGATATTTGCGGGATCCCAGATTTAAAGCGTTTTGACAAAAATTGAACAAATATCAAGTATCAAATTATTTAATAATGTTAATAGACCTATCTATTTTACCAGACAGAGAGGTAATAATACGAGAACTTTATTAGATAGAAAAAGACGCAGAACGCTTATTGCGCAAGACGAGGCAAAACGTATCAAATTATGTTAGACTTACGTATAATAATCCGTTCTTATTATTTGCACGGGATAAAAAAGGAAGGAGGAAAACCGCGTGATGTGCAATGTATTTGTCAATCAAAAACACAAACAATTGAAAATCAATCACTTGTCAAGCTACGTCAAGTTGAATATCAAGCATAATTTTATCCTTGTCAGATCACGGGCAATAAACAAGGACAAAGAGATACCCAGCGTGCAAAAGGATTACTTCACACCTGTACTAGTTAGCCAATAAAAATGCATTGCCTCGTGTTGCGCGCGCATACAGGTAAAAATAGATAGGTCTATTATTAGAAGATTAACATAACAAGTCAGAAGATATATTTGAATATTATTTTGGAAATAACTGCACAAATGTCCTGTCGTTTCGTTTTAGTTCTTCATTTACACAACTTGCATTCTGAAAGTTAACAAAATTCTCCTATTCGAGTTATCAATATGTCGGAAATTGTAGCTCTGTTTCAATCGATATAAGAACCGTTCCAGAACCAGTAATTTCCAGTTGCCCACCTATTTTTCAATGAGTTCATCCTACTTGAAAAATGAATTGATCGACAGAAAATTACCGTTCTAGAACGGTTCTCATGTCGGTTGGAACAGAGCTACAGTTTCTGACATAATGATAATTATTTAAACTTGAATACCTACTTAAAAGAGTAAATTTTGTTTACTTAACCACAATTAAGAATTTGTTGCACTGCGACCCCTTATACGTCCTTATTAAAAGTTGGAACAAAACTGCCAAAATTTAAAAAAATAGCAAACAACTTCGAATTAGAGCGAGAAAGTTTCTTTCAGTATCCTCACCACGATCCGTCATCCAGTTCGCGCGTACCAGGCCCGAGTAACACCATAAAGTACAGTTCTTTTCAATCCCGCAAATCCCGGCGGGATCTCGCTCAGTTTATGAGCGAGATCAGTATCGCATATGGCGTGCAGGATCCCGGTATTTCGGGATTCCGGTACTGCATTCACTAGTTGCTTGGAATTCCCGTGGAATTGAAAAAAAAACCTTCCTACGGAATAACTAGAAATTCCATAAAATTTCCATGAAATAATGTACTTGAAATTTCATTGAAATTTCGAAAAAGTCCTGTAAAATTACTCGAAATTTCAAAAAATTCTTCTGCAATTTCTTAGGTAGTAATTTTACTGAAATAAAATTACTTGAATTTCTCCTGGAATTATTTGGAATTCTAGCAAAATTTGAAGAAATTTCTGTGAAATAAATCAAAATTCTCGTGAAATTCCAAAAAATTCACAAAAAACTACTCAAAAAATCGTATAAATAATTATGAAATTCGAAAAAAAAATCGTGAAATTATTTTTCAATTTCAGCAAAATTCCAAGGAATTTTTTTGATTGATAATAACAGCTGCTTTTCGAACACCCTGTATAAAAAAATTGGTGTGAAAAAATCTTAAGCAAAAAAACAAAATCGACTCACTAAAACTCGATTACTCGTTACGGTATCACTTCATTTATGAATAGAGTCATCAGCACTCAACAGACTACACCAAAATTGAAGAATAGAGAATAGAGAAATAAATTTAATTGAAATTGAGAAAATATTGGTAAAATTGTAAAATAAATCTTTCTTTTCCTATTAGGTACAGGCTTTCGAATTTTAATTTATTTTATTTTTTTGAATTCAAAAACTCTCGAATTTTTTTACTTATGAAAAAAACAAAAAACAAAAAACAAAAATTTAAGTCTGGAAAAAGACAGAAATTGAAATGAAAATATTGAGAAAGAAAAATTGAGACAAAAGTTCAATTTTTTTTTTATTACAGATAGGTAAGTTTTCTTTGAGAGATTTGAAGAAACAAAAGCTGGAAACAGATAAAAATTGAAAAGCAAAAATCTAAAAATTGAGGATTAGAGGTAAAATTGTAAAAAAATCTTACTCACCAATTCTGTTGCAAAATCATATAAAATTGAGCAAGCCTGGCCGATCCACTATAACAAATATCCTCATAATTAGTAAAAGTAGTTTCCCCAGTTTTCGGTGCATCTACCACAATAATAAACGAAGTACCATCTTGAGCCCTATGATACGATCCAACAAACTGATAATTCGAAACCCATTGCAAAGCGATAAGGGAGCACCCGCCTTCCAATTTAGGCTCGGCAATCACTTTAACCGCCTTCAAATCTGGCTTGTATTGCGTTATTTTGCCATCTCTAGATCCCACGGCGATTTGCTTGCCTTTTGGGCTCCAGCAAAAACACGTGGCTGCCGCTGCAGTTGGAAGTTCATTGATTTCAACAGATTCTCCTTTTAGTTCGTAAACTCCCAAAGAACCGTCACTTTTGCATGTTGTAAATATGGCTGGAAGGGCGGGATTCCAGTTGATTTCTTGTATGAAAACGTTAGGGGTCGCTGATAATCTTATTTCTTTGATTATTTTTATGTTTTGTTGCAAAAATGAGAGCACGTCGTAAAATATAACTGTGGGACATTGACTTCTTTCAACTACAACTGCAAGAATTGTCGAGTCACAGTTAACAGAAAGATGTTTCGGGGCTGAAGGTATTTGTACGTCTCTTTTAGGATAATCATCTTTTTCTTTGGGGCCATAATGCTGGAGTGTTTGAGTTTGAATAACTGAAAAACAACCCCGTTTTATTTTGCAAATAAATTACATATACCGAGGAGGAAGCCACTTTACCTACCTAATTTTGTACACCAAAAATTCTAGAATTCTAGAAAATGCTTATTTTTACGTAATTATTTCAAAAAAAATTGTAAATATTTCTAAAAAATTCTATATACATAGGTAATTCTAAAACTGTAACTCTATGCAAATGTATGAAATAGTAGAGTATGAAATTGTACAGAGTGGAAAATTCCTATAGATAAACTTTTCTTAGAAGCCCTTAATTAATTCTAAATAATTTCAGCAGCAAAAAATTTACAATCGACCAGTTTATTATTAAAAAATAACCTTTTACTATTTTTTAATTTTTAAGAAATTGTTTTACCTACTTCAATTGTGATAAAATATTGAAGAGTAATTAAAAAAACGTCAAATGAACGCCCCAACTCCCTAGTCCCTCTGTGATAAGGGAGAAAAACAATGGCAGGGCCGTAACTAGGCATAGGCTGACGAGAGGCGCAATGCGCCAAACTCAAAGTATTTCGAACATTGGAGAATTAAATTTAAATCTAAAACTCGATCTCAAATTATTTTTAGAGTAATCAGTTTCTTCACTAATTTAGATTTTCAAGGAACAGTAGTGGATCCAAAATTGATAGGGTGCCCCGAGGGGTGCCTGAAGGGACCATCCAGGAGTCTATCGAGTATGTACAGGGTGTCCCATTTAAGATGGTATTGGGGGTTATCTGCTAAACTCGTAGAGATAGATTTTTTTTATTTCACATTCCTGGGCTAATTTTTTATGACGGATCGAATGCCGCAAACCGCAAGTCTCTATCTTGTTTCGTTTCGGAGATACAGAGTGAAACTTGAAATTTCCACTTTTCGATGGTTGTCATTATCTCGCGTAAGAAAAAAGATATCAAAAAGATGAAAATTGTATCTGACGCAGTTATTTACGTAGATTTCATTGGCGTACTCGATTTTTTTTTTCGAGGTACCGTTCAAGAGATATGACACAAACTTCATCTTTTTTCAATGGGACACCCTGTAAATTTTTACATTTTTCGAATACGCATAAAATTGCCTTTTCAATGATATATAATTTGTTTATATTCATTTGTGATTTGCCAATTTTATTATGGTATTTAAAAGCTTGTCATAATAATCTTTCGAAATCACATTAAATATTTGGTTTTATTTTTTGGTTTAATATGTGACGTAACAAACTTATAATTTTTAGATATAGGACACGCTGTAAAATAATAGTTTACTATCATACATTTTTTCTCATTTCAACAATATAGGTATTATACTTTATACTCATACCTCTGCTTTAAGGTCAAGAGAAAATAGTTTCTGATGATTGTTAGGAAAACTGATGTCATTTTGGATTAACCGGTACAGCAAATATCATAAAATAAGATATAACTGAGTATCTTACTAATGCTCGGTAACTGGTTTTAAATTTAATAGTCTATTGACAATATAATATTTGGTACGGTGAAATCCTTGGAAATTTAAAATTATTATAATAGGAAATGATACTAAACACCGTGTATTTGTCATTGATTTTTTATATTTTGTAACCATCTCAAAAACAAATTGAATTTAAACACAAAACAAACTAAACTAAACCATCCAAACAAAAAAGTATTAACTGTAACTACTAACAAATTTAAAAAACGAAAGAAAACATGGATGAAAACTAACTATAAAAAAATTTCAAACTGTTCTGTTCAATTTGGTCTAGTAAAAATGAATGTTTATCAAAATTTGGAAAGGCTGATAATATGCTTAACACTTATTATGAAGCAGGTAAAAATACTACTTTGGCTCTTCAACAATATCAAATTAGATAGCCAGAAAGGCACATAAATAGAAAGATATTTAAGCGTCTCTTGAATAATTCAAGCAAACATGGCCAATTTTGTAAATCCAGATTGGGAAAGTAGAGCAATGAAGAAGATGAATTCAATGTTATTGGTTATATTTAGTTGCACATCGAAACGCTTCTTTCTTGTAGAGAAGTAGAACAGGCTGTTGGAGTACCTAAATCCAATGCCAGTGCCAACAGGTATTTGAGAAAAAATCATTTTAAACCTTATGCGATCAGACTAAATCACTACTTAAATCCCACCGCTCCACAAAGAAGGCTAATTTTTTGCCATTGGCATCTTGAAAAATATCATTTTAATGGTCCTTCAACAATTGATAGCATTTTTAGGGCCATATTCTCCGTAGTTCATAAAGCCTGGCTTAGTGGAAGCACTTGGCTTTTTGCGTGATAAAGCCGAGCTTTTCCACTAAGCCAGGCTTTATGAACTACGGAGAATATGGCCCTTAATCGCCATAATAACCACCGCTGGGCCGCACAAAATCCACATGCTAACGCTATTATCAATAACCAAGGAAAACTTAGGTTTAATGTGTGGTGTGGACTTAAAGGGAACACAATTATTAGACCAGTAATTTATAAAGATAACTTGCGGAAAGATATGTGCGTTTTTTGGAAGACAACCCAGAGCCGTTTCTGGACGAACTTGATGCTACGCTAGAGTCTCGGAGAATCACTACCCATTTGGCAGTAAGGAGATGGGTAAGCGTATTTTTCGAAAACCATGAACGATTATTGGAATATTCAGAAATTGCTTTGTCGTTCAGTTTGAAAGGAAACCAAACAATTTTGGTGGATGCCAATACCGGTTTTTTTACCAATGCACTGTTCAATTTATAGTTTCGATCATTGTTGCTGTTGGAAATTCGAAAAATAACCATGTTTTATCTTTAAAAACAGTAACGGCTACAAGAAATTAGCAAAAATCCGTTTTCAATCTAAAACCATTACCCATATGATTTTGATTTACTACAGTTTTGTACTGCTTAAAATGCGCGTCCTATCGTTTTATAATGTTTCATATGGTTTCTGTTAACATTAGTAGTATGCAGTATGCAACGTAACCAATGGATCTGTTATTTTATTCTGCTAGGAACCAGTGATGTTAGTAGGTCATGACCAGCGCGCATGACGGCGGGTCATGACGTCATGACCGTCACGTCACATTCAATGTGACCGTTGGTCATGACCATTTTACCGCATAGTGTGGAAATGTGCAGTAAAGTAGACTGCATAGTATGCGGCAAAGTAGCTTCGGTGTTTAGGTACAGTGAAAAATTCCTTCCCGTTCAGAAATTTCAATAATGCCTTCTATTCTTTGGGAGATATAGATGCTCATAGGTATAATTTTGTACCTAACACATGCGGAAAAATGAAAATGCCTTTACCGCACTTAACGACTGCCGTTGTGTGAGGTAAAGTATCACTTTCTGCATTTGTTAGCTGAATAACTATTATTTTTGTTATTTTATTTTACCTGCTGGGCTAGGATAGCTTTTATCCACTATTTTGTAATTTGTTGAAATTTCTTCTGTTCTGAAATCCCGATTAATTTGTCAAAACTTTATAATCGATAAACTATCCTTATTTTACACCAATTTGTGAGTTTATAGATTATAGACTGTGAGTGGGTAGTGGTTTGATTTGAAATAATTACTATGAACTATGACCATGGTCATGACATGTCATGACGCAAATGACCGTCACGATTTTAAATGACTGTCATTTGACATCACTGGTAGGAACCCACGAACCCGTACCATGGCCAGCGTGGCCACCAGATATGTCGCACCTTGATTTTTTTTTGTGAGGATTCCTTAAATATATCATTTGTCAAGTGAGAAGCCAGAATTTGCAAGAGCTTCAAGAAGGAACTTGTCCATTTAGCTTTCACACAAGGATCCACTTGCGGAATGCAGTTAGACGATGCAATGTTTGAACTGAAAATCCTGGCTGTCAATTTTAATTTTTTTATAGTTAGTATCCATCGTTTCCATTTATGTTTTCGTTGGTTTTTCAAAGAACATCTCACACTTCTTATGGATTTCGGTCACCGACAGATTTTATTGAAACTTTAGTATATTATTTAAGAAATCGAAATAAACATTTTCTTTCATTGCACCGACCTTGTAGCGATACAGAATGATACTGAAAAATCAGGTCAAAGTTGTTTTTCTTTTATTATCTACTGGTAAAATATTATAATTCAACTTTATTTGATAAAATAAAAACTTACTCCATAAAAAATGATATTTCAAGTTCTAGCATGTACAGGGTGGTCTAATTTGGACACTATTTTTCTTAATAGAAAAAGCTTCATAACTTTTTTATTCATGGAAATAATTGATTTCCGTAAAAACGTACTTTTTCAAGCAGAATCCAGTGATATTCTCAGTGTTTCTCTATTTGGCCCCGATTTCGAGATATCGGGTCCAATTTTTTTTGATAGGATACCCTATATATAAGTTATTCATTGGATAGCTCTGCTTTTGCTGATTCCAATGATACTGCATCGAATCTTCAAAGACTCACCCTGGTGCAAATATGAATTTGGATCACAATCCGCTTGTAGTGAACATCCAGTTGATACTAAAAAGAAAACGAACAGCCCGAGACTGGATCTGACAATACAAAACAACTTAACAACTCTGGCTTAAGTTAGAAACGAATTAGATAATAAACTGAACGTAATAAACAGGGCAGAGAATCAAGAAGTGGAGACTGTATGGACCGGTATCAGGAAAGTCTTTGTTAACGTCAGCTTGGAGTTTCCATCGACACTAGGGTCAGGAAAAAAGCTTGGACGACTGATGAATTTCTCGACTTGATGGAGGAAAGGCCTAGCCAGCATATCGTCAGCTAAATCGTGAAATGAAAAACATAGTCAGGGTAGCTAAAGAAAATTGGCTGAACAAACGGTGTGAGGAAATCGAAGCAAAATATGACAATTTTAATATGCATCCGAAAATTAGAGGAGCTGCTGATGTATACAAACCTCGACAGACCGGAATTCTGTTGGACAGTCAAGATAAGATCTGTGGCTTGGTCGAAAAAGGGCCTATCTAACAAAATTAAGTTTTGAGATAATCGAGGATTTGTGTGAAAACTTGA